GGGGGTGGGGCCTGTTCCCGGGTGGGGCCAGTGGCCCCTGTCTGACCAAAGCTCCTGCCTTCCTGCAGGTCTTTGGGGTCCTTGAGTCCCCTGAGCTCTCCAGGGCATCCTCAGCCACGTTCCGCCCGGTCATTGGTGGGGACAGAGATGAGACTGGGGACAGCACAGCCCAGCGGCTGGCCCTGCTGCAGGAGCTGGCCTCCCGGCCAGGTGTCATAGCCGCCCAGGGGGAGCTCCAGGTATGGGTAGGCCCATCTGTGGGAATGGGCACCAAGCCCTCTGGGCTAGTCGGACCTTCTCCAGGCGTGGGCCTGGTGGGCCGGGGTGGGTGGGCTGCCTGGGGCAGGGAGGCCTCCTGGGCAGTGCTCCTGACCCTGAGCCCCAGCAGGGGTGGCCAGGTGTGGGGCTGCTGGCTGGGCAAGGTGCCAGGGAGCACACGCAGCCCTGAGGAGACAGGTGGGGCTGGGTGGCAGGTGCTGCCCTGTCCTGCCCGTCCGGCTCTGGATGCTGCTGACAGTCCTGTCCTGCCCAGGGCCTCCCAGGACCCGGCTCCCCAGGGGGTCAGAAGTGGGCGTCCCGCTGGGCCAGCCTGGCCGACAGCTACTCTGACCCCGGCCTGTCAGGTGAGTGGCTCCACGTGGACCGGTGGGGTGAGCCAGGGCCCCGGCCTCCCTGGAGGAGGGTGGGGCCGGTGGCTGCGCTGACCGGGCCCTTACTCCGCAGAGGATGGCACCGGGCGCAAGGGCGTGGGCCCCGAAGGGGTCCTGCCGGTGCGTCAGCGGCGCCTGCTCCCGCCACTGCCCAGCGAGAGGACAGACAGCCCAGCCGGCCCAGAGGCCGCCAGGAGGAGTGGGCCCGGGCCCCCAGAGCTGGGCAGCCAGCAGCCCGGCCGCCCTGCGGGCCAGGAGGACCTGGAGCCCGACAGCCTCAGCGACGCCAGTGGGTCGGACGGCGGGCGGGGGCCAGAACCAGGAGGGGGTGTCCCGCAAGAGGAGCGACACAGGAGCCCCCCGCAGGGCCCTGTGTGGACGAGGGGCCAGCGCTCCCCACGGGCCCCTGGGGAGCCTGGCCCTACCTCTTTCTTCATTGGGGAGCGGAATGGAGAGGCAGCCTGCTCTGGGAAGCCCACTGTGGCCCCAGGGGACACGCAGGCACCCCCTGCCCGGGACGGCGTCTACGTGAGTGCCAGCGGGAGGATGGTCATCCAGCTTCGCACGGGCCGGTCCCCAGAGCCTGAGGCCCCGGCTCCACCCAGGGAGGCCCTCGCTTTCGTCCGGCAGGAGAGCTTCACCAAGGACCCTGCCAGTGGCCCCCCGGCACCCGGCCAGCTCCCACACATCTCCAGCCACCCTCTCCTGCAGGACCTGGCCGCAGCCCGGGCAGCTCGCATGGACATCCACCCCCAGGACACCCACCACATCCTGAAGGAGACGGAGACAGCCCTGGCGGCCCTGGAGGCCCGGTTGCTCTCCAGGTCAGCGGGGGAGGTGGAGGGTGAGCTGGACAGCGCCCCCGGGCGGCCGGAGGACTCTCTGTCCGGGGACTCGGACGTGGACACGGCGAGCACCGTGAGCCTGCTCAGTGGCAAGAACGGGCCCAGCCCCACAACCACCCAGTCGGGGGTGCGGTCGGCCCTGCCCGTGGCGCCGGCCCCCGGGGTCACCGCCCCGAATGGCACCCAGGAGCGGCCCTCGGAGAAACAGCACCGCCCGCCGGACGTGGGCCGTGGGGAGTCTGGACGGCGCCCGCCTGGGTGGCGCAGCCACGGGCCCCGGGGGTCCCTGGACTGGCCTGACGAGGAGCGTGGCAGCGGCCCCACCCACCCACCGGGCTCAGACCTGGTCACCTCTGACCGTGAGGCCCCTGGGGCAGGGCGGCCAGGGCTGCGCAGGAAACCAGCGGCTCCACCGCCGTCCCCGGCTGCCCGGGAGGAGCAGAGCCATGGCTCTGCCAGCAGCCAGAAGGTGCAGCAGGTGCTGACCCGCTCCAACAGCCTGTCCACCCCCCGGCCCACGCGGGCGTCACGGCTGAGGCGGGCCCGGCTGGGGGATGCCTCGGACACAGAGGCCGCGGACGGTGAGCGGGGGTCCCCGGCCAATCCCGAGCCAGCGGCCCGGCCGGCCACCGAGCAGACCAAGAAGCTGTCACGCCTGGACATCCTGGCCATGCCCCGCAAGCGGGCCGGCTCCTTCACGGGGCCCAGCGACTCGGAGCCACTGCCCACGCGGACTGGCTTCTCGGGCCGCAGCATGGAGCTGTGCTGCCCCAGCCGGCGGCCCACTGCGGCCGAGGCCCGGACCACCGGCAGGAAGACGACCAGCCCCGCGGCCACCGCCGCCCGCCAGCCCTTCAGCAGGGCGCGCCCGGGCAGTGCCCGGTACTCCTCCTCCAGTGAGTGCTGGGAGCAGGCTGGCGGGGTCCCAGTTTCCTGTGGCGGCCCGGGGACGGTGCGGGGCCCAGCTCCCCTGGCGGGGCACCCAGTGGGGCCCCCAGGCCCCGACTGTCCCGGCAAGAAAGCGGAAGCCCCACCGCCTCCAGGACGAGCACCCTCTGTCTTTGGGGCCCGGGAGGCCGCGGGCACCAGGCGGCCACCGGCCCCTCCCGAGGCGCTCTCTGGGTCTGAGTGGGCCACTGTTGGTGGTCAGGTGCGGACGCAGTCGTCTCCCCTGCCCTGGCGCCTTGGGGCCCACGGGGTCTCCGGCCTTGGGGGGCTGGGCCAGCCTCTGCAGAGCAGCGTGTGGTGCTGGAGCGCCCGCCCCAGGCCGACCTGTTTTCCGAGTGAACTGGATGGAGATGAGGGGCTGCTGGCCCGGTCTGCTCCTGCTGACCCCGACTGGCCCTGCTGGCCCCTGCTGGGCCCCCAGCAGCACAGCTCCTCCCAGCCTGCCCGGGCAGGGCTCCAAGGGTGTGGGCAGGCCGCTCCTCACTGCCCAGGGCCCTTTCACACCTTCAGGGCTCAGTGGGTGGAGAGCGGTCGGGGCTGCAAGCCAGGCAGGGGGCCCCCGAGACTGCTGGGGTGGCTGCTGGGCACCCCTGGCCGCCATGAAAGGGAGGGTGCTGGTCTCCACCCAGAGGCCACCCAGGGTGGGCCCTCCCTGGTCACCCTGCGGGGCGCAGGCCCCTCGGGGCGCGGGGGACCACCCTGCGCCTGCGCCCTGAGTCCTGCTCGTGCCCG